TCTCTGCTCCACACAGAGGGCTGTGGTAGCTCGGTGGTCTGTGGTTGTTTCAGGAAGGACATCCGGCAGTTAAAATAACTGCCAAGTCTTTGTGCGACTTAGTTCGCTGTGGCGACCCCTAACGCAAGGCACAGCCGAAAGAAGAAGAAAAAAATACCAAGAATGGACAGTAGTTATGTCTTATGCTCTAAGGACTGTTCGCATCTTAATGTTCCTCGTGTGCGAACAGAAAAGGGCAAGAAAGCTTTTAGCTTTTCTACCCCCTCAGCTTGGAATGCCTTGCAAGCTGAATGAAAACTGACAGAACTTGTTACTTTGAGAACGTTAAAAAAAAAAAAGACAAATGATATCTTGTCAACAATGCCTGTGTTTTAAATCTTAAATTATTGTTTTAAATTATTATTTATTACAATTATTGCAATTTACTGCTATACTGTATGTTTTATATTTTTATATATTTCTGAAGTCTTCATCTAATCTTGCTACTTGTTTTGTTTTTTATGATGTGTGCTGCTGCTGCATGTTCTTGGCCAGGTCACCCTTGTGAAAGAAGTCTTGAACTCAATGGGTTTTTATCTGGTTCAATAAAGGTTTAATAAAGTAATCAAAAAAAGCTCTACAGTGACTGGTCTGAATGACTATCAGCCAGTAGCCCTCACTCCAATAGTCACTAAATGCTTTGAAAAACTGGTCATGACTCACATCAAAACAACCATCAACATCAATGAGGACCCTCATCAGTATGCATACCGTGAGAACCGATCAACAGAGGATGCCCTCTTCTCTGTAGTCCAAACTGCGCTCAACCACCTGGAGCAGAGACTCTTATGTCCATATGTAGACTTCACATATGCCTTCAACACCATGATCCCCCAAACCCTGATGGACAAACTACTCAAATTAAGACTAAGCCCATCCATTTGCAACTGGGTACTAGACTTATAAACAAAAAGACCACAGTCAGTGAGGATCCACAACTTTTCCACCTCCACCATAACCCTCAGCACTGGCTCTCCTCAGGGATGTGTGTTGAGCCCTCTCCTGTTTACTCTGCTCACGTATGATTGTGCAGCTACCCATCCAGGCTGTCACATTGTAAAGTTTGCAGATGATACAGTGGTGGTGGGATGCATGACAAACAATGATGAGTCCAGCTACAGGCAAGAGGTGGAACACCTGGAGAGCTGGTGCAGAGAGAATAACCTTCACATCAATGTGAAGAAGACAAAGGAGATGGTCGTGGACTTCAGGAGGAACAAAAACATTTACACCCCCCTGAACATAAGAGGATCTGCAGTGGAAGTGGTCTCCAGCTACAAGTACTTGGGTGTGCACCTGAACAACAACCTCAGCTGGAGCAACAACACCACCAGCCTGATGAAGAAAGCTCATCAGAGACTCTACTTCCTCAGACGGCTGAGACGAGCTGGTCTGGAAGCTCAGTCCTCACCTCCTTCTACAGGTGTGCAGTGGAGAGCATCCTGTGCTCCAGCATCAACGTGTGGCATGGAGGCTGCACAGCTGCAGAAAGAAAAGCTTTGCAGAGTGGTGAAGGCTGCACAGAAGATGTTTGAGTCAGTCTCCCCACCATCACAGACTTTTACACCTCTAGATGCAGGAAGAGGGCCACCTGCATCATTCAATTCAATTCAATAATACTTTATTAATCCCAAAGGGAAATTATTTTGTTGTTGTAACTCGTTATCCTCATTTCATTAAGAGATGTTATAGATGCTGATGCTGCAGACAGGAAGGATCTCTTGTAAAGGTCCATCCCACAGTGGATCCTAAGAAACTGGCTGCAGATGCCGTCCGATCCGTCCACCCAGAATCGGCTGGCCTCTCGCTTCCCCTGGACTGTAGGACCGCCCGAATGCTGGGCAGAACTCCTCCCAGAGTGATGGCCACTCCTCCCAGCAGTCTGCTGAGCTCCTCATAGCTGTGGACAGTCAACTGTAGGTGCCGAGGGACGATTCTGTCTATCCGCTGTCATGAACCGTGTTTCCTGCTAGTTCCAGGATCTCAGTGATCAGGCACCCGAGCACAGCTGGCAGGTAGATGAGAATGCATCCACAGAACATCCTTTTCAACTCATTTGAGAGTTGGGGCCATAGTTGAGATATTATTTGAGCTTTTGAGATGTTAATCAGCTGCTGTTGTTGTAGAAAACTGCCTTGTTGCCATGGTTACGCATAATAACAAATGTCCAAAACCAAAAAAGTTTCAGTAAAAATCCTTCCAGCTGCTCAGCATCTGATACCAGAGGAAACAATCATCCAAAAAATGTGATTTACATCCAGAATACCAGGAATTAAAGTTTCCAAAAGCAAAATCTCAGAATGAACGTAACAGAGCTGCTCCAACACGCAGCCACCTTGAGCGGCGCAATTCTAGAACTTTTTTTAGAATTCTAGAAAATGAAGGACCCCACTCACCCAGCACACACACTTTTTGCCCTAATCCTCTCAGGGAGGTTGAGGAGCATTAAGTGTAGAACCACTAGACTGAGGAACAGCTTCTACCCTGAAGCTGTTAGACTCATGAATCTCTAACTAGGAGAATCACTGTGAAAAATCACATCATGTTGCTGCTGAGCTGTTCCATGTTGATGTGTTCATGCGTGCTCATCTGCTCACACAGACTCATGCTCATGCTCGTGCTTCTGGTCGACGTACTGTTTTAATGCTATTAGTGCTTAGTGTATTTTTAGTTGTTGTTTTTCTTAGTTCATATCTAAGATGCGGTCATTGTTTTTCTTTCACATTTTTATTGTTGGATGTAAATGGGACCCTGTGTACATAATTTCGCTCCACCACATGTACCACATGAGGTGCGAATGATAATAAAGAATCTTGACTCTCTGACTCTGAAGGTGGGGTGCTGTTGACTTCAACCAGTGATATCGTCAGGACGTGGAAGGAATACTTCTCTGACCTTCTCAATCCTATCAGCACGTCTTCCATGGAGTAAGCGGAGTCTGGTGACTTTGGGGTTGTTCTGTTCATAACTGTGGCAGAGTTCACCAAGGTAGTTAAAAAGCTCAGAGGCGGCAGGGTTCCCTGGAGCAGATGAGATTCACCCCGATTTCCTTAAGGCTCTGGATGTAGTGGGGCTGTTTTGGTTGACACACCTTTGCAACATCACGTGGACATTGGGGGCAGTGCCACTGGATTGGCAGACTGTGGTGGTGGTTCCCCTCTTCAAAATGGGGACCCGAGGGTGTGCTCTAATTACAGGGGCATCACTCTCCGTAGCCTCCCTGGTAGGTACTGGAGAAGCGAGTCCGATTGTTGGTTGAACCTCAGATCCAGGAGGAACAATGTGGGTTCCGTCTTGGCCCTGGAACACTGAACAAGCTCTTTACCCTCACTAGGGTCCTCGAGGGGTCATGGGAGTTTGCCCATCCAGTCTACATGTGTTTTGTGGATTTGGAGAAGGCATTCGACCGTGTTCCTTGGGGTACACTGTGGGGGGAGCTCCGTGATTATGGGATTGGGGGCCCGTTGTTATGGGCTGTTCAGTCCGTATACAAGTGTTGCGAGAGTTTCATTCGCATTGCCGGTAGTAAGTCGGACCCCTTCAGGGTGAGAGTTGGACTCCGCTAGGGCTGCCTGTTGTCACCGATTCTGTTCATAACTTTTATGGACAGAATTTCTCGGTGCAGCCAGTAGGCGGAGAGTTTTCGGTTCAGTGGCCTCAGGATTCCATCTCTGCTCTTTTCAGATGATGTGGTCCTGTTGGCGTCATCATGTCATAATCTTCATCTCTCACTGGAGCGGTTCGCTGCCAAGTGTGAAGTGGCTGGGATGAGAATCAGCACCTCCAAATCAGGACAGGTGTTTGTCTTACAGAACATGTACTTGTCTCATAGGACAGGTGCTTGTCTGACAGGACAGGTGTTTTGTCTCACAAGACATTTGTTTGTCTCATAGGACAGTTGCTTAATGTCATTTCAAAAGCAACAGAGAAAGGTCAGAGGACTGAACTTCCTCCATACTTCTGCTACAGATGCCTTTAGAGCATAAATTCAGAAATTCAAACTTTTTTATCCTCTCTCTCTGTACTCCGGTGAAGTCAGACGTGTTTTCCCGGCGATCTGTACCCCCCCCCCCCCCCCACACACACACACACACACACTTGCACTCTTTCGTCCTGTGAACCCTTAAAGAGCCTCTCTTTTTTCCTGCATATCTTCCTAATTTGAAGAATCAACTGGTCTCTCAACAAAATTGATCAACTTCTCCCGACAGGAGTCAGGGTAAGGAGGACACTCTTACCTCGACGGAAACAAATTGGATTTGTGATGACAACAGGTTTTTTTTTGCTGTTTGGCTGGTGAATTCTGGATTGTCTACAAATTTGTGTAGATGTGTCAAAGCTTGGCAGCACTCAGACTGAATTATGTGCAGCGGTGCCAGAGAGCTGGTGCAGCTGTTATCAGGACTGTGAACTCTCTAGCAGCACACATGAAGGTGGGAATAATCTTGGAGAAGCTGTGAGCTCGGCTTTAAGGCTTTAAGGAATCAATTCGGCTGTTTAAAGTTTCCATCAGAGGAATATATACCAGCGAGACTTTAAAAGGCAGAAACAGCAATTCACAAGTTCTACCTGACCCAAAACTGTGGCCTTGACGGCGGACTTATCTCAACTCCTCCTGGCATGTTTTGAAAAAAACAAAGATGCTTTGACTGTCTCCTCACCCCTCCCTTCCCCAAGGCCGTGGACATGCTATGACTTTCCCTTGAAATTCAATGTCTTCACCGGCCTATATATTCATGTATAACGTCTATTTATGTTGCCTTGCTGTGGTAGGTTTTCTTTTATGCCTCAAACCGTGCCCTGTCTTGGACACGGCGTGAAAGATCTTTTTTACACCGTCTCTCCTCATTTTTTCTTCCCTTTTCTCATCTAAGCAAAATATTCTGAATAAGAATAAGAGGGCTGCGCTTTTTAAAGCAGCAGCTTCATGCTCTCCGCCCATCTTTCGGACGACTGTACGTACATGTTCTTGTATCTTGGTGCAATGATAATAAAGCTTATTCTGATTTTAAAATTTAAGAGACTCTTCTGAGAAACAAGACTTTTTCTTTCTCTTTAGTTGGTATTTTATTAATAAATGAACTGATTCAGACAGAAACACTTCAAATCAATCAATTTGGATAAATTCTTTCCTTAAATTCTTCTGATTTTATGTTTTTAACTGATCCCACAAATATAACAATAATTTGATTTATTCTATTAAAACTCTGCCCTCTTTCACAACGTCAGTAAATATAGTATCCAATAGAGTTTTTAAAGGTTTATGCATCAATAAAACTGTGGAACAAAAAGAAACATGAGGCTGTACACATCTGCAATGTTTGACCAGGTTCTACTCAAAACAAAACCAGCAGCAGGTTCTGCTAATTTCTTCTCTTTCCCTGCTTTAAACCACAGGCAGGACCCCTCAGAGTCCAGTCTGGACTCTTATCTGTTGTTAAATGACTAAACAATGGTGTTCATGTTCAGGGAAGTAAAATCCTGCAGTTCAGCATGTCTTTTAACTAAACATGCATGTCCTTGTAGGATGGTGAGGCAGCTCCCTGCAGCCTTCAAAAGAAAGAGGACGTCCATCAGAGCCTGACAGGATTCTTCCTGACACACGTGATGGATCACAGCTTCCTCAGAGCTTTAGAGGAACATTCAGGTTCCTGTCCCTGAGGAGGGCTACAGCAGCTCGATGTCCCACTGCTGACTTGGCGTCTCGTCCATCTCTGGCATCACCACCACATGCTCCCGGTCATACGTTCTGCCCCCTGAGGAGACCAGCAGAACATGTTACTGAGGGGAGTAAACATCATCAGGAGGAACCCAGTCTAATGGGTTTTGCTGCTACAAGCTCATATCTGGACTCTAAAGTAGTCACCAGAATGGAATGGTAGGGAATCACCAGAAAAATGCACAGGAAATAGATTTGACTTCATTCTATAAAATATAAATCTGGTGTTTTATTTTGACTTTTCTGTTCACTTCTGTTGATCTGGGATGAAAATATGAAACATATTTCAGAACAAAAGAACAAGAATAAAACATAGTGAAATAATTTAAATAAAACAGATTTAAATAACCATAAAGATGACAAAGAGCTCAGTGCTGCATTTGATACAGTTGATAACAATATTTTACTACAGAGACTTGAATATGATGTTGGAATTACAGAAACAGCTCTAAAATGGTTTAAACCATATTTGTCTGATAGATTCCAGTTTGTAAGTGTAAATAATTAATCTTCATCATACACCAAAGTAAGTCATGGAGTTCCTCAGGGCTCAGTGCTTGAACCAATACTCTTTACTTTATATATGCTTCCATTAGGTAAAGTTATTAAACAGCATGGGATAAAAAAGGTTAAATCATACCATACCATACCATACCAATTTATTTATATAGCACTTAAAACAGCAACAAGGCCAACCAAAGTGCTGTACAAAAGAAACACAAACATGCACAGCGAACAGGAAAACATAAAATAGAAATACAGATACAAATAGCAGCAGAAGCTAACTAAAATGGCCAACAGAGTAGAGAACAGACCGGACCAAAACAAATCACACCGTGTTAATCAGTAGCCTTCATTGATGGGACTGATCTGGTAGGCAGGCCACAGACTGATGAAGTCTTCCGGATGGAAGAGGAAATGTTTCTCCCTTAAAAAAACTGGTCCAGATGACAATTTAACCTTTTCTGTTATCTACCTGGATGACTGAGCCTACAAACCTTTTTTTCAGCATGGGATACATTTTCATTGTTATGCTGATGATACACAGTTTTATTTGTCCATTAAACCCAATGAATTCAATCAGCTACTTAGACTACAAGCATGTCTTAAAGACATAAAAACCTGGATGACCCTTAATTTTCTGCTTTTGAACACAGACAAGACTGAGGTTTTGGTTTTTGGACCTGAGCACTTTGGAAGATGGCGTTAATCTGTCCTCCAGCTCTAATGTTAAAAATCTTGGTGTTATTTTTGATCAGGACATGTCTTTTATCCCCCACATTAAAAACGTTACTAGAACCTCCTTCTTCCACCTGCGTAATATCACTAACATTAGAAACATCTGATCTAAAGATGATGCAGAAAAACTGGTCCATGCATTTGTCACGTCTAGACTGGACTGTTGCAATGGTTTATTATCTGGGTGTCCAAATACTTCTTTAAAACGTCTTCAGTTGATCCAAAATGCTGCTGCCAAAGTCTTAACTGGAGTTACTGGGAGAGATCATCTCTCTCCAGTTTTAGCTTCTCTCCATTGGCTCCCTGTCAAATCCAGAATAGAATTCAAAATCTTACTTCTAACCTACAAAGCTCTCAACAACCTAGTTCCATTTTATATTACAGACCTTATGGTTCCATATTTTCCTAATAAAGCACTTCGCTCTCAGGCTGCAGATTTACTTGTGGTTCCTAGAGTTTCCAAAAACGGAACGGGAGGAAGATCTTTCAGTTCTCAGGCTCCTCTCTTGTGGAACCAACTTCCAGTTTCTGTCCGTGAAGCTGACACATTATCCAGTTTTAAAACTGGGATTAAGACTTTCCTTTTTGATAAATCCTATAGTTATGGTAGGGTTGGGTTGGGTTTCCCAAGCTGTCCCTTAGTTATGCTGCTATAGGCTTGGACTGTTGGAGGATAAACTGAGCACACTTATTCACTCTACTACTGTCTTTACTTACTCTGCTCAACCTGTTTTGTATTTGTAATTATTTTTTCAATCCTAACGTGTTTTTGTCTTTCAGGTACACCTGGACCTATACATGGACCTATCATTCTGTGTTCGTTTGTCTCTCCTTCCTGTCCTCTCAAACCAGCAGGTCAAAGCAGATGACCTCTTGTCCTGAGCTGGTTCTGCTGGAGGTTTCTTCCTGTTAAAGGGAGTTTTTCTTTCCACTGTCTCCACTGTGCTTGCTCAGGATGGGAGACTGCAACGAAGCCAAGATTCAACTTGTCTACTGCTTCCTTAGATAGAGAACTTTACTAATTCAATAAAGTTTAATTTTATCTTAATTGGCTTTTCTATGTATGTGAATGTTCCTGTAAAGTACCCTGAGACAACTTTGTTGTGATTTTAACTATATAAATAAAATGAATAGAATCAAATGTAAAGAAGAAAAACTAAGACTTCCATGACTCTGTCCTCAGAGCTGGACTACCTTTAACATCCAGAACCATCCCAGAGAATGTTAGGCTGCTGATGAGGCCCGTCATCTGGGCCGACCAGGTCTGGATCGGCTGCCGGGTCTCGTTCCACAGAACTACTTTAGCTGCCGGCTCCACGTTCCCCATGACTTGGAGACACATGGTGGAGGACAGCTGCAACAGAACAAAAGGATGGGTTAAAGTTCCTTTTTGTTAAAAACTATTACACTTTCACGTCTGACCGATGGGGCACTTCAGGAAGTCTGAGAAAACTATCTAATCCTAAATCATCTCCAGATGTAATATGGCTGAACAGGCAGTTCAGAAAGAGGTTCAAATATCTGAGTATGAACGGAACTGAAGTTCTGAGCAGTTTTAACTCATGGTCACCTTGTTTTTAATCAGTCCATCCTGGTAGAACCAAATGTCACTCAGAGGTTCCACCTCCCGTGTCACCACGACCCGACCAGATTTCATCTCTTCAACCCCGCCCTGCACCGACAGGAAGTGACCGCTTTCTTTGTTCCTCACACGGAAGAAGTGTCGCTTCTGCAGGAGCAAATGTCAACATGTTTGAAGAAACAGAACAGGTTCTGATGGTTCTACAGCTAGATTTCTGCTTTGAGCCTATAAGGTCACATAAATAGACTTTACTGCAGCTGGCTATGATCAACACTCATTAACTGACCTGTCGGACCGGGAACATGGAGCCAATCGTATGCAGAGAGCTGAACTTGGGCCAGTTGGTGAGTTCGATTGGTTCCAGCAGGAATTGGCGCCCCCTATAGGTACTGTGTTCACACAACACCCAGCTGCACAGCAGAAGAAACACACACACTGTTACACACATGCACACACACACAAACACACACACACACACACACAGACCAGCCGCTGTGGACCCTGACGGACAGGACATGGTTGTTGAAGCCCTCCTGGAGCAGACTGATGACCTCAGACTCAGAGGTAATCTCTCGACCCTCCAGACCTTCCAGGCTGAATAGAGAGATGGAGGGAACCGAGAACATCTGCACACACAGATGAATGTTCAGAAGAACCCAGTACCCAGAGTGTTGGAGTGTGGAGCTTCCTCACCAGGGGAACCAACTTCACAGAGCCAATGGAGCAGCTGGACGGGCAGCCCATACTGGGTAAACTGGGGTAATCATCTTCAGACAGGACGTACATGTTACCAGAGAACTGTTTGCTCTCATACAGAACCCAGCTGGAACACAGAACATCTTTCAGGTACCTGCACAAGTTTCTCATTAAAACACTGTCAGACACACTTCCATGTTCTCACCTTCCTCTCACCACTCGACACGACCTAGTGATGAACCTGTCCAACAGCACAGCCTGGTTCTGGTAAAAGACCAGTTGCTCTCCCTGGAAGTCAGGCTCAGAGTACAGAATGATCTAACGGAGACAGATTTATCTTTAGTTTATCGCTGAAGAACAAAAAACTAATGTTCCTTCAACTGCGATTCATCTTTAAACACATCTTTATTTCAAAAAGGTTTGCAAACTGTCCAGGTGTCCCCCACCTAAATTCTCTATTCTGTCCAATAGTCCATAGTGACTATTGGACATGGGCACCAGTGCCCCCCGCCCCAACCCAGAAAGGAAGAAGCTGCTAAAGATAATGGATGGGTGGACGGACAACAGTCAGGACTGAGGTAAAGGTATTTGATCAAAATTCTGAAGTTTAATTTGTAACACAAGATAAAACAAAAACAGGATAAAACCCTCACCTCGGGTGAGGAGCTGGAGTTGTCGGTTGGAGCCTGAAACATAACACAGCGTGAACAAAACCACCTGAGAACTCTGACTGGAACTCTGAAGTTCTGATTGGTTCTCACCAGTAAGATGGGCTGGATCGAGCAGATCCGCATGTCTTGAGAACCCCAGTCAGCACAGTTATTATAGAAGCCCTTTTCCAAGATGTACTGGCTCCCAGAGAAGTCCACATGAGAGTAAGCTACCCACCTGGGAAGACAAAGAAGAAGAGTCACCTGACAGCTCTGTCACACCTGCACCTCCTTGATGAAGCAGCAGAAAGACTTACGCCCCACTGAGAACGTGGATAGAGTGTGTAAAGGTTTTGAAACCAAACAGCTCGACATCAGGAATGGCCTCCGTCACCTCAAAGGTGTTCTCCTCCGTCACACCTTGCTGCTCTTCGGGCTGTTCAAACATCACCATCAGAGGGTCCGACAGGTCCTGAAACCAGCAGCAAGAAAAATTCACACTGCCACCTCCAGTCTCACACTGCCGCCTCCAGTCTGAAACTGCCGCCTCCAGTCTCACACTGCCTCCTCCAGTCTCACACTGCTGCCTCCAGTCTCACACTGCCGCCTCCAGTCTCACACTGCCGCCTCCAGTCTCACAATGCCGCCTCCATTCTCACACTGCCGCCTCCAGTTGCTCACTTCCGCCTCCAGTCTCACACTGCCACCTCCAGTCTCACACTGCCGCCTCCAGTCTCACACTGCCGCCTCCAGTCTCACACTGCCACCTCCAGTCTCACACTGCCGCCTCCAGTCTCACACTGCTGCCTCCAGTCTCACACTGCCGCCTCCAGTCTCACAATGCCGCCTCCATTCTCACACTGCCGCCTCCATTCTCACACTGCCGCCTCCAGTTGCTCACTTCCGCTCACTTCCGCCTCCAGTCTCACACTGCCACATCCAGTCTCACACTGCCACCTCCAGTCGCACACTGCCACCTCCAGTCTCACACTGCCGCCTCCAGTCTCACACTGCTGCCTCCAGTCGCTCACTGCCGCCTCCAGTCGCTCACTGCCGCCTCCAGTCGCACACTGCTGCCTCCAGTCTCACAATGCCGCCTCCATTCTCACACTGCCGCCTCCAGTTGCTCACTTCCGCCTCCAGTCTCACACTGCC